CTCATTCATAAATAAGTATGATGCTATTCTTAGTACTAGCTTTGAGGGTTACTATGGGCTACAAATTAAGTCAACCAATACACTTTCAAATTCTGAATTAATGAACCGTTATTAAACTATTACAGCTTTATGTAATTTCAATGTTATAATTTTAACTTCAATGTTGTATTATTAACGTTGTCGCACTAAGTTGGAAACTCAATTCCATTATTTGCTTATCAATTAATGATAATATTTAATAAGAAATAGCATGGGAACAGACTTGAGGTCAGCTTGCAGCCTAGTGGAAACTCAAGGGCAAAGATTAAAAATATAGAATCCAAAGATACAAAGGAGGAGGTCAGCAATGGATCAATACATCAACCTGAGTGATTTTCTTTCATGTGTATCTCAAAAGATAGAATCTAGGGGTATTAAAATGATATTGAGATTTGGAAGAACTGCCTTCCAGATGCCTGAGTGGGTTTAAAAAGTTCACTAAGGTTCATGTACATGTTAAATCCAGGTAATTTCTGTCTGTTAATTTTGAGGAGATATTATCCTGAATAGAAAGAACTTAATCCTTTATGTATGAGAGCAGGCAATGAAAACAAAAAAAAAAAAGAAACAGAAGCAAATAAAGAATATGCCATGTATTTTTGTTATAAAATATTAATATATATTATGCATTATTATTTTCTACAGAATTGATTTTAATCATTACAGTGGATGAATAAATTTTGAAACAAAGCTATGCTAGTCTTAAAGTGATATTTTCAATCACTACTTTACTTATGTAACCTTACTTATGTAAGTGTAACCCCTCTGTACATCACTTTGGTAATGAAATTTTAAATTATAAAAAAGGGAAAACTAAATTTCCTCTTTAAGGTAAACTACACACAATATTTAAGTGTCCTATAAAATCACTCCAGAGGGGAAAACTACCTGTCAAATAATTTTTATTACTAGATCAAGAAATACAGTTATATAACTCTTGCATGTTGTAAAAGAAACATAATAGTAGTAAATAGTTAAAAAGTTACACTAATATTTACCTTTAGTGGAAGAGTTATATTTTTCTTGTTCTTCAATGAATTAAATGCACATAATGATGGAAACAAAAGAAAGAAATCAGCAAATTTATAGTTAGACATGGAAATATGAATTAACACAATGGTATGAGCAGTAAAATGCATAACACATAAAGTGACATGATAAACTGCAATGACCAGCCATGGGGTGTCTCAAATATGGTACTAAAATCAATCAAAGAAAAAAAAGTGAATACAGAAAGATAAAGATTTAAAATAAAATGAAAATACTGGGTAAAATATGCTTAACATTTAAAGAGTTTTTTCTTAGTATTTTTCTCATATTTTAAGAATTATACATTTTAGCACCATTTTCACTAAAACATTTCAACTTAATCCCCCCTGTAGTTTTATATTGTAAATACATTAAAATCATGCACAATATTCATAAAACTTTTGCCATGAAAAATGGAATTCTGTACAAGTTGAAATAAAATAACTTCAATAAATAAATTCCATTTTTACTAAGAACAGTACACAATTTATTTGCCCCATGGAAACTATCCTGTAATATTTTCTACATGAAAAAATGCTTTTGAATTTCTGTATTTTTTCTTCCTTGTCATATTAATTTTATTAAAGTATTCCATACTAAAATTACTTTGTTTTGCATATTTTATTTCTTAGACATTTCATAAAGCTTTTTCTCTACTCGTTAGCATAGTATTCATTGAAGTATCAGGGCCTCCCTAGAGAATTTTGATGACTACTCTTAAGAGTTTTAGGCAGTGTAATTAATAAGCAACTATAATGTTCACAATTAATATGCATACCACTGTTAGTTTGTAAATGATCTTTCAATACTTCTTTAGAAGACATCCAAGTGAGCACAAAAAAAGTCACTGATATGTTTTGAAACAACACACATTCTTATGCAATCAATGGCCTTCAGCCTTGTTCTATATAAGTGCTAAGGTGAAATACAGTGTTGAAATACAGCCAAAGAAATTCCGTAAGTCTTTGCTTTCATCTTTCACTATTGTGAGAGTTACTTAAGTTACAAACTACTACTCTTCAACTACTTTTGTCTCAAAATCTTTATTGTAGCAATTATATTCCAACATGACCAGATGTCATACAGAAAACAGGCTAGCATTTCCTACTTGAAAAAGAAACTTCAAAGTACTTTTTCAAAAATTAATAAATAAACTGAAAGAAATGTTTATTAACATATCTTGTTTCTCTTTTTTTATAGTGTATGCTGGTTCTGGGGCTTGAACTCAGGGCCTGGGTACTGTTCCTGAGCTTTGATGGTCGTTATTGCTCCACACTAGAGCCACAGCTCTACTTCTGGAATTTTGGTGTTTATTTGGAGATAAGCATCTCACAGACTTTCTTGCTAAGGTTAGCTTTCAACCATGGCTTTGAATGAGGGTTCTCATGTCTCAGCCCTCTAAGTAGCTAGAATTACAGGTGTGAACCACTAGCACCCGTCTAACATATCTTTCTCTATGCTAGCCTTTAAAACAGGAGGTATTGCTTTTATGGTACAAAGATAACATTGTCGACTCCCTTTACAAGAAAAACAAATTGTCACACAACCTAAAACAATAATGCAGAGAACTGTTTGCAGAAATTTTATGAACAAAATTATTTTATAAACTATATTAAGAAGTTTTACCACTAGGAAGCTAAACCATCAGAAATATATGCTCTTACCAACTGGTTGTTTAACAAATCTATTAATAAATAAAGTTTTAGAACTCATGAAACCACCCTGTATTAAAAACAAAACAGAAAAGACCAAAAGGAATTCAAGGATACTAGAGGATTAATGAATTACAAGCAAACTGCAGTCAACATTAAACCTCACGTTAGAAAGAATTAACGTTTAGGAAATGCATTTGAAAGAAAAAATAATATAATGCTGTAGCTTTAAGAAAAGTCAAATCCATTGTGAGTAGACTAAGATAAACATGAAGGAAAACCCATGGATCACCTTAGTAGTTTCCCCTTGAAAATGTATTTTGTAAGAAGATAATGTAGACAGTCAGATCATCTACAAGAAGTTCCACACATACATTAACATGGTAAGGTAACCATATCTATTACACTTATAGAAGAACATCTAGGCACATGCTTGTCACCAGTTTTCAAAGCTTTATCTGCATGACTTTTAAGACCATATACACCAAGAAGGGCAAATGACCCAAAGGGTTCCTAGTATATTTGTGTATTAAGTATCAAAATAATTCCACCAATGTCACTCTCTTCTTCCACCTCAACTTCAATCCTTACAAATTGATTATTTTTCTGAAAGATAACTGTAAATACGAATACCATGAACAGCAATACTTAGATTACAGTGGAACACGAGATTTTTAAAAATCCAATATACAATCCAACTGATTTCACATGAGCAATTCTTATTTCTGCAGCAGTAACAGTACTAGAGTCTCTCAATGTGTAAGAATTATATTAATAAGCTTATACACTTGGAACTCATACAGCATTTTACTTGCAACTGGAGGAAATGCAAAGAATTTTGGGCTAGCAACTTTTTAAATTATCAATATGATTAGTGACACTGAAAATATAAGTAAACACCAAATTTTGAAGTTTTTCAGTTGTGCAACAGGAGTTAATGAATATCTTTAAAAAGTTTTTATTTCTAAATAAATTTTGTCCAGCTTATACATAGAATTTAACTATCATTAATTTTAAATCATCTTCTCAAAATATTCCCAGAAAACAGAATATCCATTAAACACACTGAATGGATAATTCTAATACATTAACTATTATTGCAGAAAAAACCCAAGAGCTTCACAAAAACACATTTTCTTGATTGCATGAATTATTTTACAGCAACTGTGAAAACTAAAGCATGATATATCAACCGAAAGTAAGATTTTAAAAAAATACAAACTCAGAATTTACAACACCAGCCCTACTTACTAAGTTGATTCCTCTAAAAACCTACACAGTGTTCTATAATCGAATATTTTGCAAGGCGCATTATGTCATGTAAGTCTATGAAACAATGTTTTTCTTTTCTCAGAAATTTAACAATTCTGATACATTTGATATAACATTTCAATTAAGTGCCTATGCACCCAGCACCCTCCACATGGTATAGAATATACACTACTTCAGTAATAAGTAACTCTTGAAAACTATTCAAATTTAAATTTTTAGTTGTCCCATAGGGATGAAAATTTTCAAATTTCAATATGTGCTTTAAATAAATCTCCCTTGCATTTATAATAAAACCTCCAATTAGAAATTTCAGTAGTTTTACATCTCAAGTAAGGACCATGTGTCTAAAAAATACTAAGAATAAGTCCTGAGACATTGAGCACATAAAAAATACTACTTTCACCTGGTACTCAAATCATTTAGTTCAAGTAGTTTCGAATTCAGTTTCAGCTCTCTCTCTCTTTTTCTCTTTCTCTCTCTCTCTCTCTCTCACACACACACACAAATTTTCTTCTTTCTAAAATAAAACAATGCATACTTGCTTAAAATGATTATTGACAAATGACATCCAAATCTATATTCACTTTTCATGTAAAAATGGAAGATATCACCAATCAAGTGAAAAACTTTAAAATCTAGTATTACATTCAGTATGACTGTATTTAAGTTTTAGAAGTTTGAAAAATAGTGTGTATGAAGTCTTTTAATATCCACAAAATCAAACTGTTCTAATGTTTTTAAGTTTTTAATCTTCTACCTTTAAATCTTTGAAACTGCCTGTGGGGATTCCTCCATCCTGTGAAAGAACCATTTACTCAGCAAAAATTAGCATATACTACAAATCACCAAAACCACATGTTATGGATAAAGTTCTAAAAGGGTTCATTGTTTTTAGGACCCATCAAACTACATATAATCAAAACACTATTTGTTTAATAAAAAAGAGTATCAAAGGGGGAGGTTCTTCACACCAAGAGTTTTGGACTAGGATGTGTCTCTGTGGGATACCTTGTTCTATACTGCCGCTCCTCACCGGCACCTGTGGAAGCTGTCTTCCCCTCCGGCTGCCCAGGCCGCTGTCTGTTGGGGGAGATTGGCTGGAACTTCCTTGTCTTTGCATTCTGCAGACAAAAAGCAGAGAAGGGGGCTGAAATTCCAATACAACCTGACCGTGATCTTTTTCTTCTTCCTGTTACTACTACAATAGGCATAAAAGTAACTGAGCGATTGGATGGAAAATCAAATATTTTCATAGATGTCAAAGGTATGTTACAAAAAAGGAACTAGAGTTGACATATACTGTAATGTACTGCTCTGCAGAATGAACTGGGCTGAATCAGACCCAGTTCTTATTAGTTTTCGATGAAGTCCTATTTATTAGACAAATTAATTCTTTCTGTGAGTGATCAACCAAATATATTTAATCACAGCCTTTGGGTTTTAAAAAGACAAAAAGAAAATTAGTGATGAAAGGCTGTTGCCTGAATGGGCTACTACTGAATTGCTACATGCTTTAGACTGCTTATAATTAATGGGAAATTCTTGCTGTAAATCCTTTATTTTTAAGTAGGAAAAAACCTTGAAAAAGTATTTAAGAAAACCCTGGGCACATGCTATGAGATACACTGATGTGGCAATTGAAATTACAAGTGAAAATTTGAGAAGCATGCAGACATGTTTCCCTGTCCAGAATTAAAATGACTTGCTGGCATTCAATTGTTTTATTTTATGACCTCCAATTTTTTTAAGTGAAAAACTTTAAAATACACTAAGATTTTATGAACATGTAAAGGTTACCTTTTTAAATTCCTCTTAACACTTTTCAAAGCAAATACATATTAAATTCCGAGTCATTTGTCATAAAGAATTCCACATATCTGATAAATTATATATGGATATGCCACAAACAAATGAAAGCACATAACACGGGTAAGTTTGCTTTTCAATGGTAGTTAATTGGCAGGAACTATAGAATATGGCCAGCACAGTGAAGAGAGATGCAAGTAATTGAAGATGAAGGAGAGGTTTAAGTACCACAAAGAGAGGATTCAAACTATGGGTCAAAAAAATGAGTGAAAGTTTGGAGTGCTCAGGAAGGTACAACACCACACCAACACCCGGAGCAGGACATGAATGCTGGCTGGACACTGAATAGCAACCTTGTCAGAAGTGGAGAAGGTGGCGCCGAGCCTCCGGGGGGAAGGTGGTGCATAGAACACATAGTTCTGACACTAGAGTGCTCACTCGATCTGGAGCGAGCGGGATGTTTTCCCCTAATGACTGCTTGACCAGTTGCTCTTGGGGCTGCGTATCCCCTTCTAGAAAGACATGGTGGGAGAACCCTAAAACATTAGGGCCAAAAAAGATCTTCAGTCAGCAAGTTCAAATTCAATTTATACCAACACAAATGTCCAAGGAGAAGCTGATTAGTCTGTACAAGATTGTGATTTTTTTCCCCCAAGAACCAGAAGACAATCCATCACACAATTATTGAAATGGAGTTCCAATCAATGTCAATATCTTGTAGATTTTTAAGAGGGCTGATCTAGGTTTCTCTATTGTAATAAACCCTTTATGATTTCTCTGAGGGTAGAGACTTCTGTCTTTTTTCTTTTATTTTAATTGTTGTTGAGCTTTCTCTGGTACCTAAAATATACCTGTACAGATAGCAGGAGCTTAATGACGTCAGGCTGACCAAATGAGTGAGTGAAATTACAACAGTAAGTACAGGGCTATGTCAAGGACTGGCCTTCAAGAGGAAATAAAGCACAGAACGATGAGTATGTTTTTTACAGTGCTCATAAGTTACTTGGCAACCATTAAATTTATGGCAGGAGGACACCTTTTGAGATTACTAAAGCAAAAATAATTTTATACAACTCACTGAGTGGAAATGGCTGATATGTGAGTAGGTCAAAGATTCTCATATGCACTGAAAAGGTATTTGCTAAAATATCAGCAATTATCTTCATGGTGTTTAAAATTATGACAAAGACATTTTTTAAACTAAAGATTTTAACTGGCAAGTTGAATTTAGATCGCTTTGTACAAATACCTAATATAATTTTAAAAATTAAAAATAAATAAATAAATAATTGAAAACCAATTTTTGAAGCCAGGCTCTGGTAGCTCATGCCTGTAATACTATTCAAGAGGCTGAGACCTGAGGATAGTGGTTAGAAACTAGTCCAGGCAGACAAACTCAAGAAACTCTTTGTCTAATTAACTAACAAAGAGCAGGAGGCATGGCTCAATTGGTAGAGCACTAGCCTTGAGCAAGAGCTGTGGCCTGAGTTCAGGATCCAGCATTGATATAAACTAACCAGCAAACTAACTAATATGTGTATACTTATTTAAGACAGTTTCATACTTTTATATTGTTATCATTTTCAGTATAAACAAACACTTCAAATACCTACTAAGTATTATGCTTTCAGAAGGAATGAGGTATCATCTCCCCCTTTGGAAGAAACGATGTGAAATGTGTTTATTGCATGTTTTTGTGCATGAGAACAACATATAAATAATAATCACCAAAAGAGTATTAATGAACAATTTATTGAGCTTACATTTATATTGAAAAATCTTCCTTTTCAGTAAATTAATTTTCACAGAGACATGATTTTGACTCAGATATCTCTGAGTCAATAGATATCTCTAAGAAAATGTTAAGTTGTCCATAGCAAAGAGGTACAGCTTAGGTCTTTAGTAATAGTGTATTTTCTCTTCTGGAGCCATGGCTTAATGGTTTATCAGTCTCTGTTGTCATACCCTGCAAACCTATCACCTCCATTTCCAAAGAAAAATGAAAACAAACAGACAATATCTGCTGTACTGTTCATTCATTCTGAATTGGCTTTCACATGATCTTAAGTGTATAAAATTGATATGGGAAGGATTATAAAGAAGCAATTTTATTTTCAGTGATAAAGGAAATGAGAAGCAACTTATCCAAAATACACGTTCTGAATGAGGTTTGAAATTTCCACTCTATTATTTCCACCCTAGTACTGTGAAATTTCATAATCATTGCAATTTTACTAAAATTTCCTCATTATCAATGACATTTTTAAACCCAGAAAGGACAACTTGAATATGACCTGAAATGTCACTAATTAGGTTGACTTTATGTGGTACTCAACTGAATGGTAAAGGTATAAAAAGTAACTTAAGGAGCTGATCAGTAGCTTTTCGGGTGAATATTGTACAGCACCAGAGTACTTGACTTAGTGTTCAAGCTGCTTAACCACAAAGAGGCTTCTAGAACCGAAAATAACCTATTGTGTTCAAGATCAATCATTTAGCACAAGTTCTGCTTTTCCCATTGGTAAGGAAAAGGTCCTGACATTAGCCAATCTGTGGTGAGCACAAGAAGTCCAGACCAAGAAGCAAAGGAACAACTCTTTCCCTATGTAAGGCAGAATTGTGGCTACAGGCTGAATTCTACAAACATGAATGAAGTAGGGAGATAATGCGCACTTTGATGAGAGAGGAGAAACAATGGAGACAGAGATAGTTTAGTTTGGAAAAGAGAATTAAAAAAATCTGTGGCCTGGAAATGAAAACCTAAGAGAATCCAGGATACTGAGGTTTTTTCTTTTTAATAAAATGAAATGTACTAAGAATGTAAGGATGTAAAAACAAGGGAAGAGACTTGGAGGGATCATGTTAGAGAAAGAAGAGGAGAATGAATGATGGAAGAGAAATAATTACTCTTAACTGATCATCAAAATTTGTATATGTCTCTGATTGTAAGTCTCCGATCATGAAAGTATGTATATATACTTCCTCAATGATGTAGTCTCAATCCTGGGATGTTATAATTATTATTGTTTTAGAAATAGGAGGCTAGGGTCATAGATTTGTCAAAAATCAGAGATAACATGTAGATCCACACAGGTCTGTCTAATTCTAACATTAAACTGGTGAGATGAGACTTGTTTCTTTGACATGAATTATAAAACTGTAATTTCACATCTCAGGATAAACAATCTTTTAACACAAAACACAAATACATCTAAGTATTGAATTATTTGGCAGAACTCAACAGAACAATTCTGACAATTTGGGAAATGAATATATGAAGAGAGCCTTGAAGGAGAACTTGGCCTGTTGTATTTATATATGTATGTGAACACTCCAGCTCAACATTTCCAAATGCTTCATGTTAACCATTGAGTTCAATCCCACCTTCTTTCTTCATCTAAGAGTAGTGTTTCAACCTGAACTATAATGCTCACTAGAACCTTGCCATTTTAGTCAACTCCATGGGTACAAATAGCTTTATAGTTAATTGCTTCTAGTGAAGCCAAGAAATACATTCTGGAGCTTTATTTATGACTAGCTAAAGAATGGGCAGGGCAGGCATCATCAGTGGCTCACGCCTATAATTTTAGCTAATCAGGAGGCTGAGATCTGAGGATCACAGTACAAAGCCAGCCCAGGCAGTAAAGTCCACAAGACTCTTATCTCCAATAAACCACCAGAAAACTGGAAGTGGTGCTGTGGCTCAAGTGGTAGAGCACTAGCTTTGAGCTGAAGAGCTGAGGGACAGTGCCTAGGCCCAGAGTTCAAGCTGCACAAGCGCAAAAAAAAAAAAAATGGACAGGTATGCAGTGGTACACATGGTCATCAAATGATTCCTCCAGCGATGAAAACCTTCATAAGCTCGTTCTAATAGCAAACAGTACACGATAAAAAGTGCACCTTCAAACAATTCCAAATCATAGTCTAAACAGAGTACGTCACAGACTGCAGAGTTTAAGTTCTCCAAGAGGAAGAGTTGCTAGAATGGAAATGATGCTAGCAGGGCTTATAGCTGAATTTTACATAGAGAAAAAGCTAAGTGCTTTATCTGAATGAGGACATTCCAAAGGAAGGACCACTTTAATTGGCCAGGCACAGAAGATAGAAATCAGTTCTTGCCTGTCCATTATCTCCAACTGCCCATCATATCTTTTAAAACATTTTCATCTAAGGCTAGTCTTGTGAAGCTACATTTGATAAGACCAACAAAAGGCATCTAAACATCATGATCATTTCCTGTGCATTTGCAAGAGCTAATACATAATTGGAAGGGGAGTTGTTAATTCACACTGATCAAGAATCAATGTGCAGATCATGGATGTACACAAGTGTCTGCCTAGCAGATGTGAGTCCTGGGTTTCATCCTCAGCATCACCAAATCAAAATCAATGTATGTAGAATTTGTATTGTGAATTCACTTCATTTTAAGCTAGCCATCAATTTAAAGTATCTTCTGAAGAAATCAGAGCTAAAGTAACATAGAAAATACAAGTCAATTCTTCTTGTATATCTACCTATTCAACAATTCACTTAAAAAAATCTAGGCATGAGTTTTCTACTCAAATAAGAGTCAATGAAGAACTATAATTTTAACCAACAAATCTACCCATATGAAAGATAACAGTTTTCTATTTATGTTAGCTGGTTTGCATTAAAGAATATGAAAGATGAAACATAATCGGTGTTGTTTCATATATCTGTTAGAACTATTCATCTATTCATCCATTCATTTCTTTACTGATTCATTTCTTTACTCAATGTTCAACTCCTTTGTGTATTATTTTTAAGTACTCTGGATCATTATTATAGTATAAATTACACTCTCCAAACTTTTCTAAATAGTCAATATATCTATGGACCACTTTCCATGAGTAAATTTCATCTCGCATCCCTTAGCTTCCTTCTCAGATGCTTTCCAGATCTCTATTTACTGGAAAGTTTTCATTTTTGCCTCTAAGTTGTTCCTAACCTTAATACATCCTTAATACATACCTTGCACATATTTCTAAATGAAATGAATCACTGAAATGAATCACTGAATTGTACAGATTCCATGTCAGCCAAGCCTACTATAGTCTAACTGGTGTCTTGCATCTACCTCTGAATCTTTGGATCCACCTTCCAAAATGCCACCCAAGTTTTAAATCTGATCATCCATGAACCATGGTTAAAGCATATCAATGACTCATAAAGATACTAAGTTTTTTTTTAACACAGTTTTAACATGCCAGAGACTTGTTATTCATTTTTTTTCAGGTTGTCTCCATTTTATTTTCAACCCTTTGTCCCATCCCTTGATTTCTATTCTCCATTCCAAAAACTGGTGCACTTTCTCCAAACTCAAGAAAGTATTTCAAATCTATTCCCCCCCTCTCTCCCCTCTTTCTCTCCCTCCCTTCTTCCCTCCCTCCCCCCTCTCTCTTTTTCTTGCTATGGGGGTGCGGTCCTGGGACTTTTACTAAGGGCCTAGGTGCAGTCTTGAGCTTTCTTACTCAAGAATAGCACTGAACTACTTGTGCCACTCCTCTTCCAATTTTTTGGGTGGTTGATTAGAAATAAGTCTCAAGGAATTTCCTGTCTGGGTTGGCTTTGATCCACAAACCTCAGATCTTCTCAGCCTCCTGAGTAACTAGGATTACAGGCATGAGCCAGTGGTGCCAATGGTATTCAAACCTTAAAGAATTTTCTTACATTGGTCTTGTTCATGAAACACTCTACTCCTCACATTTGCTTTCACATGTGCATTTAGATTAGTAAAACTAAATTTATGAAACATTTTATCATTTCTTCTAACCTTACTCATTTCTATATTTTCAATGTACTTTTTCATAACTCTGTAGCATCTATGATACATGAATACACTGATTCACTTGCATCTGTGTCCCCACACATGTTCTCACAATTTTAAGATAAAAGACAATCACTATACAGTACTTGAACCACTTAGATGTTTTCGTATGCATAAAAAAATCTCATTATATTGCACCTAAAATACTCCAAAGCTTTATGGAATTGGATGAACTGTAAACAAATGTTCAGTAATTCCTTATAATTTTTATGCAATCTCAGTATATTTGTATTTGCAAAACACAAGAAACACACTACCCATTTGTAAATAAGAGATTTGCTTAGATCACATTCAGATGGACCATTGAACCTCAGATATTTGTATATTCTATTGAAAGTATTTCACATAATCTGAGAAACAGAGTATTAGTTCCTAAAATGTATATTAAAACCAGAATTGATTTAATCCTTATTAGTCATCCCAATGACCAAAGAAGAGAAAATTACAAGTGCTCTTTAAACTTAATATGTATGAAGAACAATGGAAGGGGTGACATTGATAGAGACACACTATGCTTATACACGACATGCTGAACTGAAAGCCCTCTGCATAACTAAAAATAATAAAATAAAATAACTTAGTATTTAAAGGCTCCCTTCCACATTCTTCAATTACACTATTCCCACAAAAGAGTAGAACTGTTTACAAGAACTCCTTTGAACATCACAAGGTGGAATTCAGAGGTGGTCACATCAAATGGGAGTGAGAGTACCCTGAGGACCCTAAGAAAACAGAAGATGGCAGACAGTACACCCCCACGCCTACCTTTCCGCATCAGAGCCAGTGCCTTTCCTAGTCTGTTTTGGGATGCTAGATCTTTCAGACTTTCTGGAGTGCCTGTGAAATGAAATGTTAAATACAAAATATATGATGAATAAAACTACAGTAACATCATCCAGAGGTTTAAAACATGACACATGAAAAATGACAACCATCTTATCTAAATGGTTTGGTCAGTCAGTATTTTTCAAAATAAAAAAATGAAATAAACTAAAACATTCAAATTAAATATCAAAATTGCTGCAAGGCAGACACAAGTTGCCAAGTGGAGACATAAACAACTGACATTTCATTTGTCTAAACAAGTACATCTACAGCCCAGAACTAATGTGGACCTCCGCTGGGCAACTTTGCCTCCCTGCTGAGAACATAAATTGGATGACAAAATAGAATAATGATAAATGTGAAGATAAGGTGAAGGTAATGACTTAGGTGAAGGTAATGACTTAGGTACAGAAAAACCACATGAGGTATAGTGCTCTTTTACTTTTAAAGGTTGAACCTTGGTGTTACACAGGTTTATTTTTCCACCACAAAATATTAAGGCAAGCGAAGAAAAATATCATAATACAAAATACTGATGTAAATATAACTACTTACATCAACAAGACCATTTTTTAAGTAGTCAGAAAGAAGCCTTGATAATCATGTGCCATTTTATCGTAGTTTCGTTTCTGTGCTGGGTCTTGTGGTTTGAACTCCAGGCTTGGGCACTGTCCTTGAGCTTTTTTGCTCAAGGCTAGTACTCTATCATTTAAGCCACTGCTCCACTTCAGACTCTCCAGTGGTTAATTTGAGGTAAGACTCTCATGGACTTTCCTGCTTGGGCTGGCTTTGGAGGATGATCCTGAGATCTTAGCCTCCTGATTGGCTAGGATCACAGTTATGAGCCACTGTCGTCAGAATTTCAGGTGCTATTTTAGAAAGCTATTCATTCGTTATGAAGCAAAGAAAAGGTCCCCAATTTACTGTATTTTGTTATTTTTTTTGGTGGGTAATTTTGTCGTTGTTGTTGTTGTTGTGTGTGTGTGTGCGCACTGTACCACTTCAGCCACTTCTGGCCTTTTGGGAGTAACTGGACATGAGTCTTACAGACTTTTGAGCCTGAAGTAGCTTTGATCATCCTCAGATCTCAGCCTCTTGAGTAGCAAGGATTGCAGGTATACTGCCACTGTTTCAGTTTCCAATTTATTTACCAACAGTATGTATGTGTATATGTATTTTTATATATATGTATATGTACACACACATATACATACATATACTCAACATTTAGAATCTGAAATGCATCATCACATTGCAATATATAAATGACAGCTTAATATTTAAGGTACATAGCATAATGCTATAATATACATACACAGTAAAATGATTATGGCAGTTGAATAAATGAATATACTCATCACATATAAAACTACTATGTATTTGGAATAAACCATTCTAAATATGATACTCTAGAGATCAATATTTTAAAAACAATTAAAGAAATCATAGAAATGTGTATTTTGGACTGCCCTCTGAATCTCTATAATTTACGCATATTTTCTTTCCTGAATATCCACTGTCCAAAAATATTGAGACAAATATATTTATGACAATCAGACAACTTAATTTAGTATCCTGTATTATGTCAGGGCCTGTTCCAAATTAGAAATCCTTATCAATAGCTGGTCGGCTCAGGCCTATAATTCTAGCTACTCATGAGGCTTAAGATCTGAGGATTTCTATGTTCAAAGCCAGACTGGGCAGGAAAGTTGGCTAGATCTTTATCTACAAATAATCACCAAAAAATTGGAAGTGGAGCCATGTCTCAAGTGGTAGAGTGCTCACTTTGATCAAAAGAGTGAAATGATATCTGCTCACACCCTCAGTTCAAGCCCCAGGACAGCAGTAAATTTAAAAAACGTCAAGTAAGAGTGTAAGATGAAAGACCCTGAGTTAAGCCCCAGTACTGTTCAAGCCTAAATATCAGCAAAAAGAAGAAGGAGACGGAGGGAGGAGAAAGAAAAGGGAGGAAGGAAAAAGAAGAAAAAGGATAAAGAGGATGGGGGGTATTTTACTAGTAGAAGACAAAAATTAAACAACAAGAACAATTTCACACCAGTACATTACATATTGTGAAAGAAGGTGATCAATCCAAACAACAAAAATGTAACCAGAGCAAGGGGCTGGGATGTAGGGGAGATAGGGTTAAGGTAAGGGGCAGATTGCAATTTCATTTAGTGGCGTCAATGAAGAACCAGAGAGGGTCAAATTCAGCAAAACTTAAGTGAAGAGAGCCATGTATGTTTCTAGGGACAGAATGTTCCCAACAATGAGACAGCAGGTGGGTTTGCACGGGCAGTTGTGTGCCTAGTATGTTTAAGGAATCAGGAGAAGGTAAGGAGGACTGAGTTGAGAGTGCTGAATCAGATGGGAAGATCTATGCAGACAGGGAAGAGAGGAGGCATAGAACAAGACAAGCTTTCCTACAAACTACAACCAGGGCACAAGGTCATAGGCATCTTTCAGAACTTACCTGCTTTTCTTCCTAACTCTAGTAATTTCTATGTTTCCAGACTCAACTGAGATGTCACTTCGTCTATGAAGTCTAAAAACCTTCTTCTTCCCTCATCTCCTAAAACTTCATGGATTCATATACAACACTGGTGATAACAATAGAAATCATATCTAACCTTCATAAAGACTTCCGTCTGTGCTAGGAGGACATCTTGGACTTGTTTTAGCTCATCCACTCTAACCAATACAAAGAAGATAGTACAGTTTGTCCTTTAAGAATGTGGAGATTGATGAAAGGAGTGATATTGATCAAGATGCATTATTACTCATAAACGGACACATTAAATTGATACCTCTTTGTATGACTACTTAAAAATAAAATTTAAAAAGTATAAGGAGACTTGGAGAAATTAACTACTTTGCTCTGACACACATACTCATTAACTGTCAAGCCAGGAGGTGTGCTGAGTCTTGAATTTCAATGGCAGTATCACATGAGATCTTTGGTATGAATGAAATGTAGTAGCCATGAATTCTAGAGGCAAACTGGATATATCATCTCTGTTTCTGGCTACTGAGTGACTTTATGCAACTAACTTAACCTTGCCGTGCCTCATTTTCCCCTACATGATCTGCAGGGTAATAACACCACCAACTCACATATTTCCTAATTTTAAATGCTTCACTGGTACTTAGTATTTATAGTCTAGTATTTGTAGTTTTGTAGTACTACACAAAATCTGATTTGTTAGAAGTTTCAGCATTACTTAGAATCAGTAAGTAGTGTTATGAAGGTATTTTTATTTTTAAGTACTTTTACAAAGGGATTTCAATTCAACATGTCGACTTGTATCAGTTTTTGAGTACAATGCATCTTGGTCAATGAAACTTTTTGTCATTCTCCTCTATCTCTTACAACTCTATAGAGTTGTAATTATCTCTATAGAGATAATTATTTTTAAATAATAATAATAATACATATTTGATCATGAATACAAAGACTCTTATTCATCTATAAGGGTCTACTCACAGCCAATACTACTTAATACAGAATTTCCGCAACTTTGCACATCTACCCTTTTCATTTTTATTTTGAACTTTCCAGTCAAGATATACTTATTTTTTTCTCTACAGATGCCATCAGAACTTAATTTTACTATGATATTTCTAAAGGTTTAGATGTGGCTCAAGTAGTAGAGCTCCAGCCTTCAGCAAATGAGACAAGTAAGAGTGCAGACCCATATGGGGTTCATGCTCCAGTACCAGTAAACACACACACACACACACACACACACTCATACACACACACAATCTTTCTTAAGATTTCTATAAAGAAAATGTCACTGTAATTCTGTAACCTCTAAATAATTTTAAACTAATTGAAATTCTTTAATCATTTAATCCTCCAATAGAACTAATGTGTATTGCATTGAATTGGTGGATTGCTTTGGGCAGTATTGCCATTTTCACAATGTTAATTATTCTAGGAGCATGAAACGTCAATTTCTTTTTCCAAATTTGTAGTTTTCACAATAGAGGTCATTCCTTCACATCTTTAAGTTAATTCCTAGGTATCTTTTTTTGAGGCTATTACAAATGGGTTGTTTCCTGATTTGAGTCTCAATCTTCTTATTGGCATACAGAAAAGCTACTGAGGACCAATGGAACAGAATAGAAGACTGAGAAACGAACCCACAGACCTATCACCATCTAATATTTGATAAGGAAGACAAAAACATAGGTTGGAAGAAAGACAGTCTCTTCAACAAATGGTACTAGCAAAACTGGCTAGCCAGATGCAGAAAACTGAAACTAGATCCTTATATATCACCTTGTACCTGAATGGATCAAAGACTTCAATGTAAGTCCAGATACCATGAAAATATTACAGGAAGGGGAGAGGAAACACTAGAGGTCCTAGGCACAAGTCAAAACTTCCTTAGAGATCCATAGTCACAACAAATCTAAGAAATACTGAATAAATAGAATTGTGTCAAACATAAAAGTTTCTGTGTGGTAAAGGACATAGCTAATAAGCTAAATAGTAAGCCTACAAGATGGGAGAAGAGTTTCACTAGCTATCCACGGGACAAAGGACTACTATACTTAGAGCTCAAAAAAATCAAACCCTCACAAAGTAAACCCTCAAAGAAACAACAACACACTTAATAAATGGATTAATGGCTTAAAGAGAGATTTCTCAGAAGATGAAGTAAAAATGACCCTTAGGCACAGGAAGAATTGCTCATCAGAACAACACTGAGGTTCTATCTCACCCCAATTAGAATGGTCAATAGCAAGAAAACTAGCAATAACAAATACTGGCAGGGATGTGGCCAAAAGGGAACTCTATAGACACTGTTGGTAAGATTGTTCAACCATTCTGGAAAGCAGTGTGAAGGTTCCTTAAAAAAACTAGAGCTTCCTTATGACCCAGCAATTCTACTTCTGAGCATTTATCCAAAAGATCACAAACCAGGATACAGTAAAGCTACCAGCACAACCATATTTATTCCAGCACTATTTACCATAGCTACCGTATGAAACCAACCCATATG